GGTCTCAGCCAGTAAGGTCTCAGCACCAACACTAAGTTTTGTCGGTGATTTTCCCCTCTGATGACTGAACTGTGATTAAGAACACCCAATTGTATGCATAATACACCCACGGGGACACTATATGCACCTATTTGGGTTCTCCGGCTCATTTCACTGACTGTGGATTTAATTTGCGGTGTCTCTTAACGGGTTTCTTTTCTTGTTAAAGAATCCAGGTTGGGCGAGTGGGAGATTTCTTCCTGGACCTGGAAATGTATCAGGCCTGAAATCCTCTCCGGCACAAGTCTACGTCCAAAACGGAGTATAACAAGAATCCTAAAGGGATTTCTCCTTCAAGGATCCGCGTTAAGGAATACTGCAAATTCGACCCCCGTTATTGTTAAGGCCGTCAAACCGAAGTGGGCGTCCTTCTGCCGAGCCCCGGCCTGAATTCAGACACTCGCTTCCAGAACCCAAATGACCGTCTCCAAACGCTCTGCGTTTCGGTCAACCGGGTGGCCTGACACGGGCGGAAACCATCACCGTGCTTAAGAGAATGCGAAGCAGATTGCGAGTTCCACACGTGCACATTGCCTACACACGGGAAGTTCACCTGAGCGCGTGTAATGGAACATGTGCACTCACTCCCCGCTATCAATACCTGGTTACCATGCAACTGCATTTGTAACTGTATTTGAACTCTTGTCATTTGTCGTAGAAGCTTTTACAATAGCATTCATTGAAGGCGCACCAAGCTTTTAAATCTTTAAAATTCCAGCGTTATCTCATCTTGCTTGGCTTAAAATTGTTGCTTCGTACAGTTCCTCTTATCACATTTATCTTTGGCTGCGGTAGATTTTTATTGTTAGAGAGCACCAGCTGCCAAATAGAGCTGAGCTGATTTGTGTGAGGAACGTATTAGGCAATGCATGTCCCAGAGGATCTGGGAATTGTTTAAAGGGAGATTTGTCATCTGCCTGGACTGTGTGCCAGAGCTGTAAAAATGCATGAATGCAGAAGGACATTGACATCTCTGATCCTGGTGTTGTTATTCAAGTGATGTTTTTAATTAATATTAATAATATGTGGAGTCCTGTAGCTCAGTGGTTAGAGCACTCGCCTCGCAAGCGAGTGATCTGGGTTCGGTTCCCGGCAGGGAGAAACCTTGGGCAAGTTTGCTTACTCCGCACGCCTGATAATAATCCCTCAAGGAAATAAATAAAGTAACAATTCGGTCACTCAATCCACGACTGTTTGTGGGGACGCTGCTGTGCGCAATTGGCTGCCGCGTTTCACCCACAAATATACAGTCAATTCACTTTGCAGTATATTCTGTGAAGCGCTTTGAGACGTCGAGCAGACGTGAAAAGCGCTATATCAAACGCAAGGATAATTATTCTAATAATAATTCTTGCACTTGATATAGCGCCTTATCACCTTTTTCATATGATAGTCCTGTGCCCTTAGATTCAGGGGCCACATGGATTTGAGTAAATATGGTTAGCAGCTGGTAAATGAGTCTTGCAGAAGCTTCATCTCTTATTTCCTTCTGATAGCTTAGACTATCTTCTGCATTTACCCCCCAACGATTCTCCTGTTGATGCATTTGAAATGTTGTGAAATTGGACCGGTGCCAAACCCTCGGCTCCGCAGGTTACTCTGCAACACTAATTCATCGGTTTGAACGGCCTCCTACTGTGTTTGCACATTTTTTGATGGTTCCGTAGCAGTTTTAACCAGGTTGGGGGAGGTGTGTGGGGGAGACGTGTGGGGGGTTTCCTGGTCAGACCACACTCGCTGGTTGGAAGGATGGCAGTTGGCCCCCTATTACACATGCCCCTTTGTGGCGCATTGCTTTTCCTCCCAAGTGGTCTGTTCGCAAGCAGTCGGGTTCAACGGCTTGTGCTATTTGTGAGGCCACCTCGAAGCCGTGATGAAATAGTCCGCGCAATAACAATGTCAGTCTCCGAGTCCATTAACATTCCACAGGAGTACAGGCTGAACACTTCTTGGAGACCTGCCTAAAATGGGAACTTTTTCAAATCGGCTTCCTTTGCGTTGACCCACGAGCGACCTCCTCGCTGTGGCGATGGGGATCTGGTCACCTCGTGGGCGCCCTGAGAGGGGGAGGGATGTGTGTGTGTGGCGGGGGGGTGTGGGGGGGGGGGGGAGGGGTGGGGGGAGGGTCAGTACAGTGATTACAAATTGAGAATTTGCATCAGGTGGAAGGGTGCGTACCCTGTGCGTACATCGGTAAGGATTATTTAACTTGGCAGCCGCCACAGCTATGAACAAGTTCGACTGGGATTGCCCGACCTGTTGGAGGTTTGGCTTTACTGCTTTGAATATAGCTCCAGGAAAATCATTGATGAGGTCCTTCTGATCCTAAGTCCACTGGTCAGCCACATGTGGTACTTGGGTTATATCCACTGAGAAGTGTTCCGGAGAGAGTGCCATGCAAAATGGAAGTTTTTACAATGTTATTTACATGTAATGGAGGAAGCATCATGCGGGGATAAAGGAACAACGTGTTGATCATTGACACTGGCAACCGTAGTAAGCATGTACTAACAGAGCAGCTGGGTTTGATAAGTTGGCGGCAATGTGTTCAGACAGCTCTAATATGTTGTAAAACAATTTCCTGGGTGTAGAAGTTTGTCTCTGGGTGCAATAAATCAGAGTGGAGCTCTGTGTTTGTGTTGGAGCGATTGGGGAACAAATTCTGGCTGATTTATTTTGATCCTTTTCAGTGCCGGTGCTTTAAACGTCCTGTTGAAAATAATGGGAATTGTTGTTTGCTGCAGACTGCAGCAGGAATGTAATGCAATGTAAGGTAATGGGAGCTTCTGGCAGGACCTCAGCGGTTCAAGGCAGGTGCTTGTGAACCATTTCTGGTTTCTTGTCTTGCAAGGCACAAAATCAGAGAATAGAAAAATGGGCGAGACCTCCACAGTCTTGCTACCCCCTAACCCTCCAACCTCCTGACCCCATAGCCTGTCCCTCACTCCCTACGCTCCCTGCTTCAGGTCTCCCGCCCTTCCCGCCCCACCATTGGCATTGGGGCATTCAGCACCTCCGCCCCCACACTCTGGAATTCTATCCCGCAATCCCTCCGCCTCACCCCCTCTCTTGCCTCCTTCGAGTCCCGTCTGAAGACCTTCCCCTTCGACCGTGCCTTCGCCAACCCTCCCACCTCCGTCCCCCCCCCTGCCCTCCACCCCTCCTGACACCAACTCCCGGCTCAGGTCCGAAAACCCCTGACTGTCCAGCGCCATGGGACGTCTTCCCGATGCGAAGGGCGCTATACAAGTGTAGTTTGTTGTTGTTATTTTCGCTACCAAAGTCCACCCGAGCTTCTCTTGCAGCAGCTTGGCGTAAGGCTGCGGTCACACTGCTCTGACTTCCCTGCATCCTCTCAAGCCGTCCCCATGAATCTCATTGTTTTCCTATCTGCCCGCGTTCTCTGGAGCGTGATCCACTGAGTGCCTGTCGAAGCCTGCAGCAGTAAATCATGCATCGTGGAGCACGCATTATTTTTTTCTCTCTCTGCAGTTGGTGAAGCAAGCTGAATCACCGAAAAAAAAATATCATAGACAATTCGGCTCCTGTTTGCCCCCGTAAATGTCTGGAATTTGGAGGGGACTGGGTAAATCAGTGCTGCTTTTTCTGCCAATTTTTCTCTTATCGTATTTCCGGCTGCTTTAACTGCTTGTGGGCTACGAGAACGAATTTGTGCGAAAGGTAACGACAGTACCCACTGCCTTCTCCCCATCTTCCTGTTCCCACCTGAACCCAATCTTCATCTCTTCCCCCTTTTTTATTCATGGCATCGTCAACACATTCAACCCAATCTTCCCCAGCTCTCGACACGCACGTGTTGACGGCTTTTTTTTTTACCCGCCGTGGGCTGTTGACCACCCGGAGAGAACGCGGGAATGTTTTTAACCGCACCTCGGGCTCGATGGGCTAGAGAACCGGAAAGGGTGACACAGGTCAGGGCCAAAGTTTGGATACTCTTAAGCATGGTGATGGGTTTCTGTCTGGGTCAGACCAAAAATAAGCGTCGCAGATCTCCATTTCATACCCATTTTGGGAGTGAATTTTAAGAGCGTTGAAGTGATGTTTCATCCCCCCCCCTCCTCCATTTCGTTAGAAACATGATGTGCGCTGTACTGGTGCTGTTTGATTTCCAAGGTGTCATTCCAGTTGATTGTGGGGTTTTAACCTGTGACACCGTCATGAGCAAAATGGTGGTTCATCGTTGTGGAAATTCAGCCCCAAAGCAATGAGTGCCTTTACGGCTGTGTGCAGGGCAACTAAATAATTGCCTGTTAATTTCCTGCTAACCAGGAACGTGGAGCTGACTTGCACTTGGCCTGAGAAGTGCTCCCTCTATTGTAGTGGTCCGGGGTTTCATACCTCCAGTTGTACTTGGATGAGTGGATCAATCTGTCGCCTGTCCATGCAATGATTCGGTCCTACCCACCTGCTTCTCCAGTCGATGTGTAATTGTACGCTTTTGAATGTGGTGGCCTTGTACAGCTCAGGAGCTGGATTGCATCTTGATTTCACTTGAGATTTGGAGCATCAGGTTAACGAGTTGTGCCCCATCAATCCAGGTTACTTTCCAGTGCTGGTTCCAGAGTTCGAAGTCCTCTTCCTTGCCCCCAATCCCCCGCTCTCCGAGCTTCTGAAATCAAGATCTCTCTCAAATCAAGTCCAGACTGGTGGAAACCCTACACCATCAGATCTATGTGCTACATTGCAATTCAACAACGTGATAAGGCACAATATTAATGCAAGGATTATTATTATTATGTTATTATTATTGCTTCTTATGAAGTTGTGTGAACTGCGTTTGAAATCCCTTCATCACCTGGATCAGCAGTGCCTTGGGATGTCCTCCCAGCATGAAAGGCGCTATACAAATGTCATTTTGTATTGTATTTGATTTTGCTCTGAGATGTGCTAAAATGTCTGGTGTTTATTCCTTCCCCTCTAGGACTCCACAGAATGGAGCAAGAATGAGCGGAAAGTGGCTGAAAGAAAAGCATGAACTGGAGGTTTATTGAATTCATCTACTTGCTGTTTATATGGGACCATATAACAGTAAAGCCTTCCCGCCAGGAGTCTGCAGCCACACAGCACCATGTCACCAAACAGTTTGATTGGCTTATATCGGACAGAGGCCCTTTCCACAGCTCGCGAGGATACTTATCCTTTGTGGAAAGATATCGTCAAGGATTTACAACCAGATACAAAATATATAGGTAAATCTCACAACTTATGTTCTCTGTTTTCAACTTGAAACGCTTTTCTGTTTCCTCTCTTTGCAAATGAAAAATAGAAAAAAAGTTGATGCCTTTCAATGAAGCTGTCTTTGGAAATGCTGGGGCCTCTCCTACCATCGAACTGAGAGAAGACTGTGGTTGGGACAGATGAGGTTTTATGACTCGAAGCAAATGGTTGCGAGTTTAGTGGAAGTTATTCAAATGATTGAAATGTTACTGGCGTGTGGTCCCAGGCCCTGCCTGCCCGAATCATCTTCTTTTGTTCTTTTATCGTGAAACCAAAGTATTGATCCGAGCTGTCTCCAACATTGATTGGCAGCCAGGTTCAGATTTCCAGGGAGTCCGGGAAGCTCAGATATCTTGTAAAGTGCCTTTGCCCTCATCTGTGTTCTTTGTTGCTTGCGGTTTGTACTGTACAGAGGTGCATGTTTTTCCAAATGGGATCGTATCTTACCAATCCACATTTCTATCTGACCTCGAATTTACCCGATGCAAATGTGTTCCTGTGTGCATGTTTCAGACCTAAAGGCCAACTCAATTTTCTTGCTGGTGTCCCTAAGCGTATGAATTGAGTGGGCGTCAGTTAAATGGAACGACTGGCAGTTACACCATGATAAGTGCCATGAGAGGAGAGCCCCGGTGGGAGTCGGGCACTGCACGTTCTGTTTGTGCCTGTGTGAAGTTGAGGACCGTAATTTTTATGCTTTGGGCCCCGCTTTCTGAAACTTTCTCCCCAAACGCCCCTGCCTCGCACATCCTGCGTCCAAATCCATGTAAAGAACCTCTGACCGCATCTTCCGTCTCCTACCCGCCTCTTCCTCCATTTCCCTCCCCACTCAGCGCCTACCTCATTTCCCTCCTAGCCTCCCACCCCGCACAGGATCCCACTTCATCTCTACCAACTACTTTGAGACATGTTCCTGTATGTGAGGTGCCATATCAATAATCTTTTTTGTCAGCATGTGAACAGCATGGTGGTTGTAATATCAATTAGGACCGAGAGCCTGAGAGGATTTGATTCTCCCTCACCCTTCCTTTCCCAATGGGATTGGGTGGAGGGGTGTGGTTGGGAGAGGGAGAGACCATAAAATCAACTTATATTCAGTACAACCACAGTCGTAAGGTATTAACAAAAGAGATCTAACATTGAGCCTTTGCCAATTTAACAGATAGTTATTTGTAAATTAATAGGGCCGATAATTACACTGCCATTAATGAAGCAATAAATTTGCACCTGCTCATTGTTCACTCATGTTACCCCATTACGTAGTTTAAAATTCCTTCCAAAAATCAATGTTAAATACTCAGACGCTTTACTCGGTAATAATCATGAACTCGAAAGATGTACATTATTGTGATTAATTCACTTCAAAATTAGATTTGGAAGCAGCAAAGCAACGCTAAGTGTTCATTAGTAATTCTTAAGAGTCTCAGTGTCCATTTCGTGTGTCACATAATGAATATCATCAGCAAAGTGTCAACATCAACAGGAGGTGGCTTCTATTCCCAGCCTTCAAAAGGTCAAACGCTTATTTTACTTTAATTGCAATGCAAATTGTTGTTCCGATTTAACAATAGCAATAATACTGATGCTTTCTCTTTATAAAAGCACCGTATTTTCCTCCTCCCCCTCCGACAAATATCTCTTCTCTTTCCCGTTCCCTGTCCCACAAGCTGGAATAAAGTTCCTTCATATGTGAGCTTCAGTGAGCGCTGACAGGATATTTGACTGTGTGGGAAGCACGATCTCATTCTCACCAGACGCCTTCGACTCAGCAGGGAACACTAAATAGCAACCTTGTGCAGGAACACCACCTGATTTGGTTTTCCCCCCAAACCCATGGTGTGCCGAGTGAGGTCAATTATTGCAGCTAACTGAGATTCATTGACTTCTTGCGCTGACTCTGGAGATCAATCCCGTGACCTTCTGGTCTGTATAAAGGTACCTTTACCCACAATCTTTGTCCGTGCTTCTGATCATCTTTCCTCTCCCCGCCCCCCCTCCCCCCCCCACCCACAGCTCGCATGGCTTTGTCGAGGGTTTTGAAATGTCCTCCTGATGTGAAGGACACTCTGTAAGTGTAGATTGTATTGTGGATCAGAATGGTGTTGATGAACAGACAGCTGAAAGTAGTAGAGTGTTAACAGCACGCACCTCTGCCTTTGAGGAGGGAGCGTGGGACCTCGAGCGAGGAGATGGGAATCAAATCCCAGCTTGTATACGGTTCGGGATCTCCCGAGGGTACGTGTGACCAGTACATCTAGTCTCACTGTAGGAGAAACTCTGCATAGGTTGAAATCAAGGGATGGATTGGGATTACACCAGGGAATAGGAGTGGGATGACACCCAAGGGATAGGGAATATGATCACACCAGGGGAGATCACTTATTTCTGTCTGTGGGATCAACTGGATCCTCTGATTCCCATCCTGAAATTTGTTTCAACCGTTTCCACTTCCGCTCTCGTCCGGCTTGATGTGTGTTCAAAAACCTGCGATAAAAACCTGATGACTATTGACGATATTGTATCATCAGCGAGCACACGGTTCACTGCGTAGCAACGGGCGGAACCCATCACGTGGCTGAAAAGGCACTGCTCTCTTTTCGATCTAACTCTATCTCAACCCAGAGGGTGACCCGTTCCTATGCAGCGATCTTAAGAATCGTTCCGTTTCCGTGTTAAGAACGCCCTCGTCGCAGAGTTCAGGCCGAGTTCTACAACAGCTTTGTCAATTTCGCCGCACTCCGAAATAGAGTAAATCCAGAATCAGGTGGAATTGTCTGCTTCTCCGTTGCTCGATCCGCCCTTTTTGCACCCGGTTCAGAAGCAGAGCGAAGGGACTTCCCCTGATTTATTTGCCTCATCGGCGCCCTGATCAGACACTGTCCCACCACAGGCATTTTTTGAAAATATCTTTGAACAACGACAACCGCAAACGAATCCGGGAAATATTTTTACGGTATATCTGATTTTGGCGTCCGAGCTGACCTGTAACTAGATAGCGTGTTTTGGTTTTTAGTGGGATACGATTCGGAGCAGATCAACACACCCCGACTTTGGCTTTGGGCAGAGTTCTGTTTTTGGTCAAACACAACACGGTTCAATGTTGTGGTGTTACTGAACATTCCTTATCCCAGCAAATGGCCACTGGGCTTGCGATGCATGATACCACTCGCTGAGCTTGATGAATACCTGTTTCTCATGCCGCAGTTTGAAGCTCGGCATTAAAGGTGTGGTTGCCCTTTGGTCAGGCTGCATTCCCTGTGCAGTGTGTCAGAACTACAGGAAACACCACACATTGGTTTATTTTGGGACTATAAACTCATATAGTCTCGGATGACAGCCCAAAGCATTATTGGGAGTGTGAGCGTTGCATTGTCAGAGGTCGTGTCCTTTGGATGAAATGTTAACTTCAATCCCTTCTGCCTGTTCAGGTGGACGTTAAAGATTCCGTGGGACTATTCAAAAAGAGAAGCTGTGTTTCACTTTGTGTGGCTGGCCACCAATCCCCGAGATGGTCATTCACTCCATGAGTGTTATTGGGACATTGCTACGTGTAACTTTGCTGGTGCATTCGCCTGCAAAATGCATACAGTCACACCCAATTTACAGTAAATCCTGTAAAGCTCTTTGAGACATCCTCCCGACGTGAAAGGTGTGAAATCAAATGCAAGGATTATCATGAGATAATTCAAGACCCATCTCAAGACCCTCCTCTTCGACCGTACTTTCGATCATCTTGTTTCCCCCCCCCTGCCCTCCACTCTCGCCAATCCCGACCCCTCCGCTCGGGTCCAAAGCACTGACTCTCCAGTGCCTGAGGATGTCCTCCTGATGTGAAAGGTGCTATACACATGTAATTTTGTTGTTTATTTTAGTGTATTTAAGTATTGGCAGACACCAGTTTCTGCCAGGTGGATCCCAGAGACACAAATCCGTCATAAGAAAGGTAGACTAGTTTGTTCACGTTGACCACGAAACTGCGCCATTTGGCATTAATAATGGAAGAGGCCAAAGTTACTTCATCTTAAAGCCAGCTCACTCTCTCAAAGAGTCTTATTCCCGTAGTGTAGTGACTAGGACAAACGGCTTACAAGCGAGAGGACCCAGGTTCGTTTCCTGGGCGGGGCAAAATCTTAGACACATTTCCTTACTCCACACGCCTCTGTTTAACTCGCAGTAAGTAGGAACCGGATTGTTAGTCGATTGGTAGACCGCTTTCCAGGGATAATAACAAGATATATCATGGCTACCATGGGTTAAGACGGTTTCGGCCCAATTCTCTTTTTCAACTTTCATTTGCGAATAAATTCATCACTGGAATTCATTGACCAATTTGGGAACAATGTAATGATATCGGAGGAACTTGAAGACAGCACTAAATAATACGAATAAAACTAGAATCCTGTAATGTCCATAATAGGAAATTCTGCCAATACAATGGCCTGAAAGTGTGGTCAAAAAGATAGGTCGGATATAATAATAACTGGGAATAATAATAATAATAATTGGGAATTATAGCCACTTTCATTATTTTAAGGAATCCTTAACACAGTGTATTTGATACGTCGATGCTCTGTTATTTCATAACGGATTGATTCCAATCACACTCTGAAAGAATAACGTGTGATCTGTACAGAAAATAATGTTTTGGCCTTCTGCTGTATCACTTGACATGTTTCCAGATATTGTTAATCCTCCAAATACAGCTGGTGGTTATTTATTGCCAGATTTGGCTGCCTGGATGAACTATAACAACAGTCATTGGCAAATAACCTTAGTCTAAATCCAACCAAGCCTCGCTCAAAAGAATCTGCAGCACATATTATGAAAGCAAAATAGACTGGTTTGATTTTGAAGGTTGATGATAACTTTGCTATTGGAGATTTATTAAAGATAATGGGAAACAGTCACTCAACGATAGGGTAACAGCGGTTTTTTTCAGACAATACAATCATTTACTTTCAAATAGCACCTT